TAAAACAATTTAAGAAATACAATACTGAAATCAGATCATCTTAACATTAGTTTTTAGATATGACTGGGTTTTAATTCTCTGTGAGCCTGACCAGACCCTGGCTATACAGAACTAGAGGCATTTGTGTTAATGATTGCCATGTCTATAGAGACCAAACAGTGCTTGACACATGGTAGGTGTTTAATAGATAAGTTATTCTTTGACTGGTATGACTTGACAGCAATTAGGTTGGATCCAGAGGAGTTAAGACAGGAGCAAGTAATAGACCTAACGAGTGAAGTGTATGGTTTCCACTGCTTGTTTTAATGAAGTGAGGCCTTAGTGGGTTAAAGGAAGAACAGGCAGTTTGCAAATTTAGCAGGAGTAGCAGTGACTTCCTAAACTCGAGTCAAATTCGCTGGGAACTCGTGCTACAGAAGGCTACAGCTTGGTAGGTTAGAGGGTTCTGGAGTTGTAGACTATTTAGAGCCAAGCATGGTAGTTGGCACAGCGGAGAATTTGGGCTGAACAACAAACTTCAGAGGATCCTGTGATTGGGTGAAGAAAAAGATGACAAGAGTACTGACTGCTAGAGGAATGATGAGGTATTCAGAACTCAGCATGGAGAGAAGTTGGTCTGCAACATGAGATTTCGTCCTTGGCCTTGTTAGATAGTGTTTTCATTAGTTAGTTGGACATAGAAATCAGTAGCGTGTTGTTAAAGTTTGTGGAGAACATAGAACAGTAGGAACACTTTGCAGTGACTGTGTTTAAGAATAGATACCAATGAACAAGGAACTGATGTGCAAGAGATCTGCAGTAAATGTAAGGGAAGTGGAAAGCCCTGAACTCAGGTTCCTAAGTCATTCATTTGTTCATGCAACAGATATGCACTAAACAATTATGAGCTGATAAAGGGCTCTGGTGTTTCCATTATAAACAGCAGAATCAAGATATTTGCCCCTGTGGCCCTCAACAGTGCCATTCAGAAGGCAGATGTTAAATGCAAGTAAACCAGGTCAGCCTACCTGCCGTGAAGAAAACACAACACTCGGAGAGAGAGTAATGCACCGAAAATATACGTAGATTGAGGAATCTGGGAAATTCTCTCCAAGGAAGAGACACTTCAGCTGGAGCCTGAAGGAGCTGGTTTTGGAGAGGTAGTAACTGTAGGCAGAGAAAATTCTAGTTGGAGGAAACAGCACGTGCAAAGGCCCTGAGTCATGAAAGATGGTGGGATGCCCAGGGACCTGATCATTCCCAAAGGCCAACGTGGCTGGAACTTAATGAACAGGCAGAGGGCAACACCAGCAGAGATTTTTAAGCATGTGGAGCAGGTCGTGGCATGTTCGTGTTCTAACTGTCACCCTGGCTGCCATGTGGACAGTGAATGGTGGGACTGAGTGGGAGGTGGGACTGAGAGGGAGGTGGGACTGAGGTGGTCGTGCAGGTGCCAGAAGAGGTGATCCAGACCAGGGGAAAAGAGAACAGTTTACAGACCTGTTGAGGAGGTGACTGAACAAGGCTTGGTCCAGTAAGGGAATGATTTTCCTGTATTTGTACCATGGGGAAATTCATGATCCTATCCTCCTAGTCTGGTTCTGGGCAGAACAGCCACTATTACCACTTTATGGTTAAAATTCTTTGTCAGAAGAAATCTATTCCTATTTAATTGCTCATGTGAAAATGTGAATTTTTTAAGGAAGTTCTTGTGTACCTAATCAAGTACTTTGATATTGGGTATATTTTATTTGTGCTATTTCTTTATAATCAAGAGCACATTGTAAACAATGTGGAGAACAAATCTAATGTTTGTAGAGTGGCAGAAGTGTCTAGAACAGATCTATAAGACATGCTACACAATAACCCTATATGCAAAACAGAAAAAGAGACACAGATGTACAGAACAGAATTTTGGACTCTGTGGGAGAAGGTGAGGGTGGGATGATCTGAGAGAATAGCATTAAAACAAGTATACTATCAAGGGTGAAACAGATCACCAGCCCAGGTTGGATGCATGAGACAAGTGCTCAGGGCTGGTGCACTGGGAAGATCCAGAGGGATGGGATGGGGAGGGAGGTGGGAGGGGGAATCAGGATGGGGAACACATGTAAATCCATGGCTGATTCATGTCAATTTGACAATGGTCAAATGGACATGTGGACAAATGGACAATGACAAATGGACAAAATTGACAATGGTCAATTTGACATGGCAAAAACCACTATAATATTGTAAAGTAATTAGCCTCCAACTAATAAAAATAAATTTAAAAAAATGCCTCAGCTATGTACATGGTACAAATCTAGAAGACACAGGACATATATATTGCCCCTATTTTCACATCCTACAGCAGGCACATACATTTTGTATTTATCTGTTTCCTTTTAAAACCCCACAATAGATACTGATTAATTCTGTATATCTGGTTTTGTTTTCTTTCTTTTTTTTTTTTTTTTTGCAATTGTGTTTAAAATACACACCAGGTAGCTCAGTGGTAAAGAACCTGCCTGCCAATGCAGGAAATGAGGGTTCAATCCCTGGGTCAGGAAGATCCCCTGGAGAAGGAAATGGCAACCCACCCCAGTTTTCTTGTCTGGAAAATTCCATGGACAGAGGAGCCTGGCAGGCTACAGTCCATGGGGTCAGAAAGAGTCAGACAAGACTGAGCGACTGAGCACACATACTATTGAGTGTATTCAAAACATTCATAATGTCATATAGCCATCACTACCACCACCTTCCCCAGAACTCTTCATCTTCTAAAACTGAAACACCATACCCAGTAAACAATTGTACATTTGATTGGAAAGGGTGATGCTTAACTGATATCTAAGGAGACATATATTTTATAGGGTAAAACCAAAATTTTTCCCCTGTCTGGGTGAAGGACCCTAAAGTACAAACATGCACATAGTTGAAGATCAAGAACTATTTCTTGGATGAGTGGAGGAACATTTGACTTTAGAGTCCTTAGCTCTCTTTATGAGAATGAGGATTTGGAAGTATTGATACCATAGAAAGGGGACTCCGTAGGATGAGAACATGATGTGAGGCCATAATCTTATGCACCATGATATTTGATTTCTTATCCCAGCATGAAAAAGGAATTCTAAAAAGTGAAGCAAAGGTTTGTCTTTTGGAGACAATGGAAATTAATCAGTGTGCAAAATGCAATGTGCCACATGGCTAAACAAGACAATGGGAGTGTGATCCTAGGCAAATTAGTTAGGTAATAAACCACCTAGAGATCTCTAAATAGCATTATGGCTAAATAAAGCAATGCAAAAGAATAAGATAAATATATACACAATTACATGTTATGATCCTTTGATGTATTTGGTGGAAAATGTGATCTGCATACAGATTTTTTTTTTTTCTTTTTCGCTCAGTCCTGTCTCTTGGCCACCCCATGGACTATACAGTCCAGGGAATTCTCCAAGCCAGAATACTGGACTGGAAAGCCTTTCCCTTTTCCAGGGGATATTCCCAACCCAGGGATCAAACCCAGGTCTCACATACACAGACAGTGCAATAATATTTATGAAAAATATATACTTGCATATATCTGGACATGCTTGCAAATGCAAAGAAAACAGTTAGTAATGATAAATTCCCACCTTATAACACTTCTGTTAAGATGAGGAACGTGATAGAAGGATGTTTTAGGACTGGGCTTTGGGTTCTTCTATTCCCACTTTTTATTTTATGCATTTACTTCTAACTTTTTACAAGGAGAATGTTATGTCTATAAAGAATAGAAATAACTAAATGAGGTGTACCAGGTTCACCAAAGCCTTACCTGAGAACCATGCTTCTGGATCCCCTCAAAGGTAAAGTCTGCCACTTAGAACACAGGAAAAATCTGTGCCTTCTGCATGCGGGTGTGTGTGAGTGTGTGTGTATGTGTGTGTGTCTGTGAACAAGCCAGATTCTCCCAGTCAATTGTGAGTCATGTAAGCACTCATTTCATTCGCCTTTAAGAAGTGCTTCTTGTATTAACTAAATCCTGAGAGGATGGGCACAGGGACAAATTTGGAGCTAGTTAGAGTATGGCATCTTGTCCCATCACATCATGGCAAATAGATGGGGAAACAATGGAAACAGTGAGAGATTTTATTTTTAGGGGCTCCCAAATCACTGTAGATGTTGACTGCAGTCATGAAATTAAAAGATGCTCGCTCCTTGGAAGAGAAGCTATGACCAACCTAGACAGCCTATTAAAAAGCAGAGAAGTTATTTTGTAGACAAAGGTCCATCCAGTCAAAGCTATGGTTTTTCTAGTAGTCAGGATGGATGTGAGAGTTGGACTGTAAAGAAAGCTGAGCACCAAAGAACTGATGCTTTTGAAACCATGGTGTTGGAGAAGAGTCTTGAGAGTCCCTTGGACTACAAGGAGATCCAACTAGTCCATCCTAAAGGAAATCAGTCCTGAATATTCATTGGAAGGACTGATGCTGAAGCTGAAACTCCAGTACTTTGGCCACCTGAGGCGAAGAACTGACTCCTTGGAAAAGACCCTGATGCTGGGAAAGACTGAAGGCAGGAGGAGAAGGGGACGACAGAGGATGAGGTGGTAGGAAGGCATCACTGACTCAACGGACAAGAGTTTAGCAAGTTCGGGGAGTTAGTGAAAGAGAAGTCTGGCGCCCATGGGGTCGTGAAGAACTGGGCACGACTGAGCGACTGACCTGAGCTGAACTGAGGCTAGCACGTGACCGCCAAGGACGCTCTCCATTCCGGCACAAGCAGCCTGGGTTCAAACAGACTCGCTTAGAAGTTCTCCAGGAAACCGTTGGGTGGGTGCAGAGGGGCGCTCGGTCCAACAGCTCCTTCTGATCTGTTGTGCTGTTTGAGAGCGTGGCCTTTCCATCCTGGAAATGAGCCTTAATCCCTCGAAGGTTGCACCAGAGCCGGAGCGGGAGGTGGGGCAAGAGCCTGGGTCAGAGTCCCAGGGGCCCGGGTTGGAGTCAGGCCTGACCTTGAGAGAGAGAGCTGGCCGCCCACAGGGCCTGGCCTAGAGCCGGAGCCACCCTTGGCCTCGGGTCAAGACCGGGAACCGAGCTTGGCTGGGCGGCGGGGCAGAACACAGAGCCCCCTCCCGAGTCGCGGCCGAGGCTCCACCACCTCCGCCAGCATCACGGTCTGAGAACCAACTGGCCCAGCAGCCCCGCTGCCACACCAACTGCCTGGAGGCGCCGCTGTCCCGGGCCTTCCGGCAGCTGGGCTGGAAGGTGGGCTCGCAACCCTGGATCTTCCTGCTGCTGCCCATGGTGTTAACGGCTGTTCTCGGCACTGGCCTGATTTACCAGCCCCAGGATGAAGACGACCACCTCGAGGAGCAGTACGCGCCGGTAGGGAGACCCACCAAGGGTGAGTGACGCTTTGTGCAGGAACATTTCACCGCCAACGACTCTCTCTCATCTTCTCCGTCTCTAGGAAGAGCACCGAGGTCAATTATGCCTCCATCCTAGGGGTCTCCAACACTGAGACACTGCTGCAGCCGGAAATCTTAGAAGAAATTAGCAAGGTGGAAGGCGGGTGCAGGCTTTGACTGTGACACAGGACAACGGAACCCAGATCCCCTATAGCAAGGTGTGCGCTTCGAACCAGGGCCCCTGTGTCCTCCCCTCCTCCCATCCCACTCTTTTTCGCCTGGGAAAGGAACAAGGGCCTCAACCTGAAAACCATCACCTTCCCCATCTACAGCCAAGCCGGTCAGATTGTCTACCCGGCCAACATCCTGGGAGGAACTGCCTTAGGCGAGAGGATGGGGCTGAGCCCCAAAGTTATGCGGCTGCAGCGCCACCTGAAGACAGGTGAAGGAGAGGAAAAGGAACGTAGCAAGGCGTGCATGATCCATTTCCTGAGAAGCCTGGCAGCCTTGAAAAGAGTCTGTCTGGCCTTGAAGAAGATCAAGGTACCTAGTGGCTGGGGTTTATAGGGAGGCCGGGAGAAAGTGGGAAGGGTAGGAGGACTTGTTCCAAGCACCATAGCAGCAGCGCTCCCAGATTGTCAGATAGAGCCCTAGACTAGAAGCCAGGTGTGCTCTGCTCTATTTGATCCTTAATCCAACTTTCTTAAAATAGGACACTGAGGAAAGCCACAAAAGTATCTAAAAAAGAGTGGATATGTGTATAACTGATTCACTTTGCGGTATACATGAAACTGACACAACATTGTAAAGCAACTACAATAACTTTTTAAAAACAAAGTAAAAAGAGATAGGACCTAAAAAAAGAGGGAGAAGAATGCCACAAATCTTAAATCCTTGATAACATTCTGGTTAAAAACACAAATCGGACATTCTCAGGGTAGGTCTGTTCAGTCCAGACGTTGATCTTCAGGTTTAGTTTGGTTTTCTGGTCAAGTTACTCTGAAATTCTTACTTCCAGTTTAAGCCTTTGCTGTTTCTGGGAGCCCCCTCAACTTTGTTTGGAGCTCATTGGAATAAAAAAGCAAAACATTAAACAAAAGTTCCATGATGTTTTTGAGAAAGAAAGATGCACATTTTAAAAGTAAATTATAGCATAGTGCCAGGCACATATTAGCTTTTCAGTAATTTTTGTGCTGACAAACCTAATACTGTGAATAAAACTGGTGAAAATGAGAAGACATCTTCTGGAAAAAGTCTTTTAATACTCAGGCAGATCTGAAATGATGTTTGTACAGTTAAAATAGTAAAAGATAGTGAATTAATAGAAGTTTAGAAAAAGTCATACATCTATAGTTATTAATGCTTTCACAGTTTTATATAAGATTCAGATTTTGTACACTCAGGAGTTTTAAACTGTAGATTTTTGAAAGCAACTTTGAAAAGCATGCCAGAGCTTTGTGGGAAGAAGCAAATCTTTATTATCTTCTTTATTCTAAAATCATAATCCATATATTTTGATTTTTTTAATGAACTTTAATGTTTAAATCAACAAGTTGTGGTGTTTCAATATCATATGTAACTCACACACAATATCAGAATTGAACATTATTTACCTGAATATATTTTTGTGTAGGTTGTCTACTTTTCATCACTTTCTAGACAACTGGAATTTAAGGCAACTTCTATGACCATGGTCCCCTTGTTTCACTTGGCATACCTTCTCATCCTATTATTTGCAATTGTATCATGCTACAGGTAAAATAATTTTATTAGTTTTATAAATTCTAAAAAATATTTTATTGTAGTAATATCTATAATGTGTATATAACATTTATGACATAAAATGTACATTTCCAAAACCATTTTTAAGTGTACAGATCAGTGGTGTTAATTACATGCACAGTGTTGTACAACTATCACTTTATGAATATTTTCTATCACCCCAAACAAACTCTGTAACCATTAAATAATAACTTCCCATTGTCTCCCCCAAGTCTTGGCTAATTTTTAATCTAGTTTCTGTTTCTATGAATTTGCCTATTCTAGAGATTTCCTGTAAGCGGGATCACACTGTATTTGTCCTTTCATGATTGACTTATTTCACTTGTCATAATGTTTTCAAGGTTGATCCATGTTGTAGAAAGAGTTCCTTTACATGGCTGAATAATATTCCATTTTATATATATACCACATTTGTTTATCTACCTCTCTTATTATTGGCACTTGAAATATTTTTGATTGTAGTGAATAATGCTACAGTTAACCATAGTGTCCAAATCTCTGTTCAAGCCCCTGTTTTTAGTTCTTTTCAGTATATACCTAGGAGTGAAATTAGTGGGTTGTATGATAATTCACTGGTTAGCTTTTTGAAGAACCACCAAACTATTTTCCACAGAGGCTACACCATTTTATCTCCCACCAGCAATGTATAAGTTTTCCAATTTCTCCACATTCTAACCATGATTATCTTTTTTAATGTGTTTATTCATTATTTGTATATCCTTTGGAACTCCCCAGGTGGCGCAGTGGTAGAGAAGCTGCCTGCCAATGCAGGAGATGCAAGAGACTTCGTTTTGATCCCTATGTTGGGAAGATGCCCTGGAGAAGGAAATGGTAACCCACTCCAGTATTCTTGCCTGGAAAATTTCATGAAGAGAAGACTGAGCGCGCGCACTCGTGCACACACACACACACACACACACACACACACACAGCCCCTTTTCTAGAGCAAACGTCTCTAAGCAAAGGAGAACCATGAACATCTGCTAGAAGGAAGCTTTCATTCTTTTTGTTAGCCACAATAAATTAAACTAGCGTTGACATACAGGAGATATTTAGGGTTGTGTTTATGGCTAATTGGACTCATAAGTGGGTGAGAAGATACCCAGACATGGGCACTTTCATACTGCTTGCTTCCATTCACACTCCTTTGCAGATCAGAATGGAAGTAGCTATTTTCAATACATCTTTGTGGTTCTGAAAGGCCAGTCAGCGTATTCAGGCTTTGCTTGCTGCATAATTACCAACCAGTATGGTTTGGTAACAGCACAGATTCCCAAACTTTCTGTTCCCACTCCTCCCTGCCTTTCTTCTGTTCAGTTCGTCTAGGTTAGTGCCTGGAAATTAAAATTGTCCAGCAGAAAGGAATGGGAATTATTGCACAAGAGGTGTCCGAGTCAAAAATGTTAGGAGTTGTAGGAATTTCAGTATGGAAGCTACCACCACAGTTTCATGACTTTTCCCTCCAAATGTACAGGTGTGGCTGTATACGAAACAAAATGTGGGTCACAGCCTTTGGGATCATTTCTGCTGCCTTGGCAGTGGTTGAGCAGCTTTGGCCTGATGTTGTACATTGGAGTGCCATTTATGATCATAGTTGCAAATTCACCATTTCTTATTCTAGGTGAGTAAAACAAAGTGTGAGGATCCACACTGTGTATGTGGGGGTGTGGGGTGGGTAAAGGAAGGGTATTGTGTTACAGAAAGAAAAATAATTATATATAGGTGACTCTATAGATCCAAAATGAGGAAATCAAATGGAATTATGTGCCTTTAAGAGTTGGAAAAATCTAGTACCCCATATGGAAAAACACAGACAAGGGACATAAACAGACAGTTCACACACACACAGAGAATCCAAAATACTAATCATTCAAAATATATGAAAGAAAGATTTGACTTTTTGATTAATCAAGGGATGCAAGTTATACCAAAAGTGATACACCTTATTTTCTTATTAGATTAATGAATATTATAGCAAGACTGAAGGTTTGGGGAAGGTTGTATGCAAGTAAACACATATTCTGCTGAGGAAAATTTGTAAATTGATACACTTTTAAAGTATAACTTTGCAACAAATCAAAAGACTTTAAAATTTTAAATGGAGTACCTTTGACCTGCCAACTACACTTCTGAGAATTTGTCCTAATTATTGGACAGGTGCTCACAAAATAGAATAAGTATGTTCATTTCAGTGTGATTTAGAATAGGAAAAATCAAAAACAGGCTAATCCTATGATAGCTTATGGTAATGATGTTGGAATTGTGATCTCTGAAGAAGAAAATTCAGCCTCTTCTGGACCAGGGACCAGGCTTGATCACGCAAGAGCTTTTGTGTAGCAGAGTTTTATTAAAGTATAAAAAGGGACAGAGAAAGCTTCTGACATAGACATCAGAAGGGGGAAGCAGAGTGCCCCCCTAGCTGGTCTTATCAAGGCCTTATATACTTTTTCCAAACCCATTCCCACAACATACATCCTAAATGAACAAGATTAGAACAAACAATAGATTGATCTTACCAGACTCACTCCCATAATATGCATTTTAAGATGACAGGATTAGTCAGAAGATTCTTGTTAAGGAGATACATGTCCTCGAGCAGGATACATTGTTATATTCACTAAGACAAAGCAATGTAGAAAAGAACTTTGTCCTTTTCTCCTTGGGAGCCCTAGACCACTTTTTCCTTCTTGAGGGCTCTGGACCCCTTTCTTCTCCTCGGGGACCCTGGACATCTTATCAACCTACCTAGGAATTAACTCTCTCATTCCCCTATTCTTTTAGGAGAATTATGTTGCCAAGGTAAAGGGCTGCCGTTTTCATTCCATAATTACTTCCTGCTATTGAGGGGCATCATCCCTAAGTTGTTGAGGCAACATATTCTCCTAAACCTCATACTGAGGGTCTCTGATCCAGGGGCCCCAAGTAATAGTTGGAGGAGGCTGTGGCACTCGTAGGAGCCTGGACAACCATCTGTAACTTAAAAGCTTTAAGATGGTTAGAAACAAACCCCGTCTTACAGTTACAGACATAAGGCAAAATAGCCATTAAACCAAGTTAAAACATAATCAAAATTAAAAGTTACACTAGGTCCATAATTACATCAGTCCATCTTAGGATTGTTAGATGTCATCAGATCAAGATGAGGCGTCATGTACAATTGTTGTCAGTGAAGGTATTCACAGAGCTGAAGAAAGTCCTTCCCTCAAAGCAGAGAAACCCACCATGCAAAGCCTTTCCCTGACGAGAAGGTTGAAAAGCTGAAAGTTGAGTCACATAGTTAATTCTAAGGTTTTAGGATCTATTACAATATCTGTGCATAAAAACTGTCTCATAGAGACAGTCCCTTCTTCTTAGGGGCAGTTCAAGCCCTCATTAAAGCCATGGGTAAAACTTTAAACCAACTGTCTTGTGTTTCCTGAGTTAGCTTACACAGATGTCATTTAATAATGGCATTAGCCTTTTCAACCTTTCCTAAAGATTGGGGTCTCCAGGAACAGTGCAAATGATATTCTATTCCTAGAACTTTTGATACCCCTTGAGTTACAGTAACTTTAAGATGGAGTGTTGTTGCTCTGAACCATAGAGTTTAAGATCCCACTTATAACATAAGAAGTCAGTCCAATAAGGTTTTGCCCATTCCTTAACCTCAGGCTTTAGTGGATACTACTTTTGATGTGAAAATAGGTGAGGGCCTTTGACCTTGATAACAATAGGAACAGCATTTTGAGCTCAACTCACAGTTTTCCATCAGCTCACATGCTAGAATTTACATTTTTTTCAATGAA